GACCTCACCAAAAGCAATCTATTGATGCAATGCAATCCATATCAAAACTCCAACACAGTTCTTCACAGACCTGGAAGGGACAATTTTCAGCTGCATGTGGAAACACAAACCCAGGATAGTTAGAACAACCCTACAAATAAAAGAGCTGCAGAAGGTATCACTGCCCCCGATTTTAAGTTTATTATAGAGCAACAGTAATAAAAACAGCATGGCATTGGCGCAAACACAGATATGTTTATCAATGGAATCCAGTTGAAGACTCAGACATAAATCCACGTTATGGACACCTGATTTATGATAAAGACGCCAGGACCACTTGATAAAGGACAGCATCTTCCACAGATGGCGCTTGTCTAACTGAATGGCTCCGTGTAGAAGAATGCAAATCAATCCATCGCCACCTTCCACAAAACTCGATAACAAGTGGGTCAAAGATCTCAACATAAAACCAGATGCATTGGGGGCTGGAAAGATGGCTCAGCGGTTAAGAGCACTGACTGCTCTTCCAGTAGGACCCGGGTTCAGTTCCCAGCATCCACATGGCAGCTCACAACTGTTTGAAAATCCAGTTCCAGGGGATCTGACACCTTCACACCAATGCACATAAAATAAAGTTAAATAAACCATAGAAAAAATTAAAAAAAAACAACAACAGATGCATTGAACCTGATAGAAGAGAAAGGGAGAATAAATAGCCTTGAACTTATTGGCACAGGAAAAGACTTTCTTTTTTTTTCCTTTTTTTCTTTTTTTTCTTTTTTTCTTTTTGTTTTTCGAGGTTTCTCTGTGTATCTTTTACAGTCCTGGAACTCACTCTGTAGACCAGGCTGGCCTCAAACTCACAGAAACTCACAGAGAAAACTCACCTGCCTCTGCCTCCAGAGTGCTGGGATTAAAGGTGTGCACCACCACACCCAGCTAGAAAAACACTTTCTGAACAGAATGCCATTAGTGCACGTACTAACATCAACAATTAATAAATGGGAACTCATAAAACTGAGAAGTTTCTGCATGGCAAAGGACACTGTCATTCAAAGTGACAGCCTACACAAAGAGAAAAGATTTTTACCAACTATACATCTGATGAAGGGATAATATCCACAATACATAATAAACTTAAAAAACCTAGATATGAAGAAAACACATAACCCAATTAAAAATGGGTAACAGATCTAAACAGAGGTCTTTGTCACTGTTCTATTGCTGTAAAGAGATAATCATAACCAAGGCAACTCTTATAAAAGAAAACGTTTGGGGATGGAGAGATGGCTCAGTGGTTAAGAGCACTGGCTGCTCTTCAAGGACCAGAATTCATTCCCAGCACCCACATGGCAGCTCACACCTATCTGTAACCCCAGTTCCAGGGGATCTAACACCCTCACACAGACACACATGCAGACAAAGCACCAATGCACATAAAATTAAAAATCGAAAAAGAAAGCATTATTTAGGGGCTTGCTCAGTTTCAGAGGTTTGGTCTAATGTCACAGCTGGCAGCATGGCAAGCAGAGAGCACAGCAGCAGGCAAGCATGGTCCTGGAGAAGGAGCTGGGAGCTACATTCCAATTTGTAGGCCAAGAGGAAGAGGAGAAAGAGAACCAGGCCTGGCTTAGGTTTTAGAAATTTCAAAGCTCACTCCCTCAAACAAGGCTACACCTCCTGATCCTTCTAATCCTGTGAAACAGAGCCACATCTAAGCACTCAAATATATGAGGCCATGTGGACCTTTTTTAATTAAACCACCACAACAGATACAACAGAGTTTTTTGTTTGTTTGTTTTTTGTTTTTTAAGACAGGGTTTTTCTGTAGCTTTGGAGCCTGTACTGGAAATCGCTCTGTAGACCGGGCTGGCCTCAAACTCTCAGAGATCCACCTGCCTCTGCCTCTTGAGTGCTGGGATTAAAGGTGTGCACCACCACCGCCCGGGCTCCAGTTGAGAATTCTTAAAAGAGAAAACTTGAAAGGCTGAAAAATACTTAAATATCCAACGTGCCAGGTGGTGGTGGTGCATGCCTTTAATCTCAGCATTCAGGAAGCAGAAGCTGTGGGTTTGAGGCCAGCCTGGTCTACAGAGCGAGTTCCAGGACAGGCTCCAAAGCTACAGAGAAACCCTGTCTCAACACCCCCACACACACAAAAAGAAACTCAAATTAACATCCTTAGCCATCAGGGAAATGCAAATCAAAACTGCTTTGAGATTTTATCTTATACCTGTCAGGATGGCTAAGATCAATAAAATAATGACAGGTCATGCTGGTGAGAGAAGGGGAATGAACATTGGTCCCTTGTTGGTGGGAGTGCAAATTTGTGCAAACATTATGGAAATCAGTGTGTTGGTTCCTCAGAAAGCTTGGCATCATTATACCCCAAGATCCAGCTATACCACTCTTGGGCATAATAAACCCCAAAGACACTTCTACCACAGAGCTATTTGCTCAATCATGTTTATTGCTGCTCTATTCATAGTAGCCAGAAATTGGAGACAACCTAGATGTCCCTCAACAGAAGAATGGATGAAGAAAATGTCACACATTTACACACTGGAGTATTACTCAGTCATTTAAAAAAACGAAATTCACAGGCAAATGGATAGAACTAGAAAAAAATCAACCTTAATGAGGTAACCCAGAAAGACAAATATGCTAAGTATTCGTTTCTATGTGGCTATTAGCTGTTAAGTCAATGACAACCAAGCTCAAGTACATAGCACCACAGAGGCTGGGTGTAGAGTAGGGGAGGAGTGGGTACAGACATATCTTGTTAGGAAAGGGAAATTCAACAGATAGTTATGGATGTATGGGAGGGCTAGAATAGGAGGATCAGGTAGGGAAGAAGGAACAGAGGGATAAGGGAGGGAGAATGGGGAGAGACGGCGAAAATTAAGGACCATTTGAGGGGTGATATGGAAACCTAATACAGAGGAAGTTTCTTAAAATATATACATGCATGAAAGTGAGCTCAACGTAATCATCAAATAACAGGGGAGATGAAGTTCCAACTGGACATCTTGTCATCAAATCAAGCTTCCAGTACCAGGACTGGGTTACATTTCATTGTGTAGTTGACCAAAAGAGTCCCATGGGAATCCCCAAGCCACCCAGACTGTTGCCTAGAGTAAAGGTTGCTCTCCACACACTGACAGCAAGACCCCATTGCTGAAGACAACGATACAACATGGAGAAGTTGAGTTGGTGCCTATATAGAAACCTTCATCCCTATGTTTTAGCATCTTTGGTACAGGAAGGTACTTGGCCACAGCCGAAAGAGAAGCATAAACCCTAAAGGCAGCCACAAATCCTGTTATCTACAATGGTGTCCTGCCTGCAAGATATGCTAGGGCAATGGTGGCACAAAGCTTACGGGAGTAACCAACAATATCTGGTTTGACTTAAGACCCACTCCAAAAGATGGAGCCCATACCCAACACTATTTAGGTGACCAAGAAACTAGACAGCCCAGGGACCTAAGGAGGGCTCTGGGAACCCCATGGAAGAAGAGGCAGAAAGAATGTAACAGCCACCATTTCCTCTAAATCAACACAAGCAGAGCTCATTGTTGTGAGGAGCGCGGGGCCCCTTTGTTTTGGCTATTATCTTACACCTGAAATAATCACACAGAAATTGGATTAATTAAATTACTGCTTGGCCCATAAGCTCTAGCCTCTTATTGGCTAACTCTCATATCTTGATTCAACCCATTTCTAATAATCTGTATGTCACCACGAGGTCGTGGCTTACCGGGAAAGATTCAGCATGTCTGACCTGGCAGCTTCATGGCGGCTCTCTCTCCTCCCTTCTTCCCAGCATTCAGTTCTCTCTACTCCACCTACCTAAGTGTTGCCCTATCAAAAGGCCAAGGCGGTTTCTTTATTCAACCAATGAAAGCAACACATGGACAGAAGAACCTCCTACACCAGCTCATATGAACTCACAGAGAATGAGGCAGCAAGCACAGGGCCTGCACGAGTCTGCATCAGGGCCTCTGCATACGTATTATGGTTTCCAGTTTAGTGTTTTCTATGGATTCCTGAGTGTGCAGATGAGTGGGTTCTGATTCTTGTCCTTCTCTCGGGCTCTTTTCCTTCTGTTTGTCTTGTTCTACTCTGATGTGTTAGTTTTTGCTTTATCTTTTTATATTTTATTATTTCCCTTTAGGAGCCTGTTTGTTTACTAATGAGAGGTAGAAAGGGAGTGGATCCGGATTGGGGGCAGGAGAGATTGGGGAGGAACTGGGAGGAGTAGAGGAAGGGGAAACCAGAATCAGGCTATATTATGTGAGAAAAAAATCTAATATCAATAAAAGGGGAAAGAACAAAGAAGAAATGCCAGGTGTGGTGGCATACTCTTGTAATCTCAGTCCTGGGGAGATGGACACAGCAGGATCTCTGGGGCCTTTCAGTCAGCCATCCAGGTCTACTCAATAAGCTCCAGGCCATCTCTCCCTTCCCACCTGCTACCCCTTTCCTGAGGTCTCTCTCTTCTCCTCCCTGCTCTGCTCCTGGCTCCCTCCCCACCAAGGCTGTTCTTTGACAGGAACATACAGACATAGAAACACACCCCCTTCCCACCCACTCAAAAGGCATCTAGGTAAACATTAGCACTGGGAAGTAACTAAGGTGTCCTGAGCACCTGGGAGTCTAGCACCTTCCTAAGGTGCTCTGCTCTGTGTTCATTCTAGTGACCTCGTCTATGGACTCCTAACCCAGCAAAGAAAAGGGCCATAGTCCAGGGTGTTTCTTGTTAGAGAGGTGGTGGCTTAGAACAAGCCTGAGAAGACGAAATGCCCGGTTCTACAGCACATAAATATAGCAATCAGAGTAGTTGTTTATGAAAATGTAGACAAAGGGAAAGGCTGCACCATCCTTTACCATACGGGACCACATTCTACATCACACACAGTTTCATGGCTTGTGACATTCATCAGATGAACTCAGCCACAGCTATGACATGAGAGGTGAGTGCTCTTTAAGTCACCTGCACTAGATTCAACACAGAAAGAATGAAACTAAGTAAAATTTTTATTATAATGAAAAGTATTTATAAAGTTACTTTTAAAAAACAAACAGTGAACTGTTTCACTAAGCCCTACTTCCTTGGCTAGACTTAGGAAGGAGGGGGCTTTGCAATATTATTTGGTGAACCCTTTTCCAAAGAAATGGTACCCAACCTAGACATAAAGCCAGGCTACACACATCTTGACCTGCATTGTGACGTCAGCTGGGATGTCTACAGCAGGCTTCAACGGCCTCTTCTTTGTGACAAATGACTGAAAACGTCACAGTTCATCCGTTAACAAAAGGCATCTGACCTCGAAGGTACTTAGGAGAATTCTCAGAGCAGCCCCTGGTACAAAGCAAGCATTTCCACTTTCTGTTTTTAAGAAATCTTTTAGATGATACATAAATAGAAAAACAGGAAATAAGACCAAAATAAAAACAAAAACCCAAACACCCAAAATATGTATAGCAACGCAAAACATGAATTTAGCAATGCGTTTCCCAGATGAAATGCTGACTAGCAGACACAGCGAAGGAAAACAGAGGTAATATCTGAGCACGCCTTGAGCCCCTGCTGTCTCGAACATGTCCAGACACAGGTCACACGCCAACCCCAGGAACAGAAAGGCAAGGCACGGCTCCCAAACCGAGCAGTGCTTATTAATCGCCATTCAAGCGGCGGGTGAAGCTGCCTGACACAATGCACAGAGAGGAGATAAGTAACCTTGGTTACTGTTTCCAAGGACACTGGGCTCGTGGTTAACAAGAGAGCTGAGGTGAAATTGAATGCAACGTGAGTCATGTTAATCCATGCACACAAAGAAAATCAGTCGACTAATGTTCTACACGCCCCCAAGTCCCGGTGTAAGGATCCAGCTGAACATCTGAAGCACTACACAGACAATACTTTTGTCTATGTTTACTGCATTTTCCTCTGCACCTCTTAAGAAGTGACTAACCCTATGGTAAGGAGTTTTAACTGAGGCATTCTGGAATAAATCTACAAGTGGAGACAACCTAGCTATGAGGTGCTTAAGATGCCATGCATACAGGCTACTATGCAGACAATACTTCACTGGGAACATTCTTAGGCTAAGGTCAGTCCTATTACTGGTTTTTATGAGGGGGTAATCTAGAACACAGACTGGAGGGTATGACTGCTACCCTGGGCTATGGCGGGACAGTAGTAGGGCTGTCTGAGAGCCGCTGAAAACCAGCCCACCTGCGTGTGCGATCTTCGCACTCCACCAGCCCCAGGGACGGAAAGGTCTTGTGGTCACAATGCAGACAGCTGTCTGAATGTTAGTAGCTCGAATGACGTCATCTGGAACAGATGAGTAAATGGCTTGGATTCATTTGCTCTTCTCCCTGCACCCTGATCTACAGCATGGCCAAGGAGAAGCTGAGCCAACGGTTGGAAATGACCCGCATCTTTGAGAAAAGACACAAAGTACAAGATGGAACACCACAGAATCTCCTCAAGTTTTGTCCTGGAAGGGGAAATGGTGAATTATGTAGAAGTAGCAGAGAGATAGACTAATGTCAGCGTTTTAGATTTCTAAATAAAGACTAAATCAAGTTAGTAAAGCATGTACGTCCCGAAGTCTTTCCCAATGCATAAAACCCACAGGTGGAGAGACAAAGAGACGCTGACCCAGACTGTTCAGCTTCTCCTGGGAGTTACACACCTTTTAACCACTGAAGCTTCAGGTCTCTTAGATTTATGCATTGTGTTTACATGACAAATTCCTATACCAGCGCGAGCCGTTTCATTTGAAAATTCAGTGCTGTTGCTAACTGCTTTTCTCTGCTACATGTATGCGTTTCTCTAACACATGTACGCACATGCACACACATACACACACCTTACTGCTCCTTTCACTAGGCCAGTGGTTCCCAACTTGTGGGTCATGATGGGGGCGTTCACAGGGTCACATATCAGGTAACCTGTACTCAGATATTTACAATATGATTCAGAACAACAAAATTACACTTATGAAATGGCAATGAAAATAATTTTGATTGGAGGTCACCACAACATGAGGAACTGTATTAAAGGTCACAGCAGTAGGAAGGTTGAGAACCATGCACTAGGCCCAGAATTCCACTCACACTGGGTTCATTCTCGGCTCTCTCCTGAAATAGTACAAAGTCCAGCATTGCTGGTCCCTATGCAGTCATCTTTGGGAATGTGGAAAGAGGTCAATATGAAGAGATTTCATTTCATGGCTCTTATAGATTTTGTCTGGAGGAAAAATACCATGCTTTGTGTCAGTCCTGATGCTGAGGTAAAACAGCAGGATCTCAATAAAGGCTCCAAGGAGAGGGGTGTGCAGTCAGACACAGGCCCTGGGCTCTGTCAAAGCGGGAGAGTCTCCTTGAGAGTTGCCTTTCAGAGAAGGAGAAGAGGGTGAGGGCTGACAGGAGGGGGGAGCTGTGCCCTCCTTGCCTGCCACTGTCCAGTGGAGACGCTCTGTACCTGTCTGTTTAATCGCAATCCCCCTTTATTCATTTCAACATTTACAAGCTAAATGCAGAAAAATGTGTCCTGCTTCATGGGACCTGGAGACAAACTTGTGGATTCCAGTCCTAGGATAATTTATTTTTTCTTTTGTTAAGTTTTCACATTTTAAACACTTCAGCAGCAGATTACTCCTTACAGAAACTGTGGTCCACATTGTAAAATATCTTACGGGAATAAGAGAAACAGAGTATGGGGGCACACATCTATGACTCAGCACTTGGGAGGCAGAGACAGGATTTCTACAAATTCAAAGTCAGCCAGGGGCATGCTTCCAAAACCCTATCCTAAAAAAATCAAACCAATATTAACATCAACAAGAATCAGAAAATCAGAGGAGAAAGTAAACAAGTGTCCGGTGCCACATGTGGTTTAGGTCTAGCACTTCACCTCGAGTCTCAAAGGGGGCAGGGGGACATGCTGGTCAAAGGCTGTCTGGGGGAAGCTCCGCCCCACCTCTTGGGGAATGCTTCAAAGAGATGATGGGAAGGAACTGTGCAGCACTTGCATTCTGTTTATTGATCCCTGTCACTCCCAGTCATGTGACAGAAACAACCAAAAGTCAGCTGGAGCTTCACTGAGCAGCTTTTCAGAGCAGATCTGGCAGGAGGAGGCCGGGAGGCTTGGGTTCAACACAGTTGATCCAGAAGTTGGCACAGCTGGCGTGGTACTGGTGTCCTCCATAGGCCAGCTTGAAACTGTCTGTTTCCGAGTTGAATGCCTGCCAGAAATAGACATGGGTCAAGTCAGGTTCTCCTTACATCTAAGAGCTTGTTAGCAGCCACCGCGGGCTGTCCCAGGCTCACAGAGGCTGAGGCCCGGATGGCACACAGACAAAAGCTGAGCAGGTGGCTATAGGATTCAAGTAGGAAAGTCTTATTTGTTTATTTTTACTGCTAATTAAAGGTATAAAAGTAGTACCATTCAACCTAGTTTCAGCAAAGGGCCCAGTCTTCACAGAAAAGGTGGGTGATGGTTACAGGGGAGAGGGATGAGCAAGACACAGAACTAAAATAGCCAGGGCTGTGGGTAATTGATTCCCTCACTTTAAAGGCCACCCTCCCTGGAGGCTGCCATTACTGTAACATGTGGCCCCTTAGAGTTCCATGACTGATCACAGTCCTATCAGGACATTTGGGCCACGACCCACTCTGGGGTCGCATATCAAATATTTACATTATGGTTCATGACATTAGCAAAATTACAGTTACAAAGTAGACAGGAAATGATTGTATGGTTGGGGGTCACCACAGCATGAGGAAATTGCATTAGGTAGGTTGAGAACCAATGGTCCGACGCTGCTGGGTGCTGACAACCGAGTGAGCGACAGCCGTCCCTCTCAGCCGTAGCTCCGGTTAAACATTCTGCAGTTTGTTTTCTTAAACACCACAGAGAAAATCTTAAAACCAGAATGCTTTGTTTCTATCTGTCAGCCTCTAAATCCTGAAGCTTTCCGATCGCATTCTGGATGTCACTACAACTTCTAGTCTTCCAGAAGGTGCTAGTTCGTGGCAGAGAAAGATAATGACAACACCAGAAGCTGATTAGCAGCTACAAGCATGCAAGCGAGACAGCAGTGGCTCCACACAGACACGTTAGTTGATTTGATCAAACATTATGGGGACAAAAATGAGTCAGTAGAGGATTCACGATCGGCACAGCCCAGGACGACAACAGAATCGTCTGTTGACCTCTTAACACACAAGACTGAGATGGAGACACTAAGGTAACCTGTAACTGGCTCATACTTTTTTAGGCTGTTCTTCTGCAGGCTTCTCTTCTTTCTGAAATGTTGAAACCATAAGGTCAAAAAAAAAAAAAAAAGAAAGAAAGAAAGAAAAAAGGAAAAAAGGAAAAGGCCCTAACACAGGCCTGTTGCCTCCAGGTAAATCTACAGCTTGGCATTTTCTCCCCACCCAGTCCATGGTGTGTTGTAGAGACCCTGGGAACTGCAGGCTCAACAGGGAAGGAAGAACTCCGTCCACTCCCTCAGCAGCTTCTCCACTGCCCTGTAGAAAAGACCAGATCTGCTTCTACAGAACTTTCTAGACTTGGAAATCCCCAGCTCTGGTCACAGAGCTTGTTGTAAAGTGGGCTCCATGTGGCTGTCCCTCAGATCACGTTAGGGATGAACCTTGTCACTTGACAGGGGGAAGGCGAGAACTTACCCGGCTCCTGGAGTCCACATTTAAGAGACACACCCCACAGGCCAGCTCCTGAGCATTTTTAATCCCAGGCCGTAACATACAGGAGGAAAAATCCAGCGAATTTTCATCTGGCTGAGGATGACAGGAAAGACTGGGTAAGGACATAGCAATTCAAATGCCGTGTAGGTCAACTATAAAACAAAGTCATCTAGTAACACAACTGCTCAGTTTTCCAGATCTGCCAAGCAGCTGCTATGTCCTGGCTGCTAGCAATGCCAGTGGGAAGAAAACTACTCCCTAGTCTTGGGGACCTCACTGTCTGCAATGGAGCTGGGGGGGGTGTCAAGTCATGCAAGGCTTTCAGTGCTACAGTACTTACTTTGGGGTAAGGACTGAGTATCTAGGCACTCGACAGGGCACTAAGAGGACGATCCTGGAACTCATAATCATTCTGCCTGAGTATTGATGAGACTATTGAAGGTGGTGGGTCAATGGGGTGATGGGGTGGACGCAGTGGAGAGGGGAAGGATGTCTCACACACAAGCAGCACAAAGCAGACATCTAAGCAAAGTCCAGCTATGAGGAGAAATCGAGGGTGGGAGCCAAGCCAAGGTGGGGATGAGGCTAGAATACCAAGAACCAGAAAGGAATGGAAGGAGGTGGGACAGCATCACAGGCACAGCCCTGTCTTCTGCGGCATGTCAGCAAGAGTCTGGGGTGGCGGTCCTCAAGGCATGGCTTCAGTAGAATGACTGCTAAGACAGCAAAAGGAGAGGGCAGGAGGGCTCACGTAAGGGCTGAGAAGGGGTGGACTCTACAGGCTGTGGGCATGTGCAGGACAGAAAGGACGAGGCTTGGGTAGCTGAGAAGATCCACTTTAGACGCAAGGACAGAAGAGAGCATAGTTTGGTTCAGGCTGAGTTGCAGCTGCCCAGGTCGGAAGTGCAGGTGATGGCCATACAGCCCTGCTAAGGCTAAGAGAGACAGCAGATGGAGTAACCGCCCGCAGGCTTGTGCTAAGTAATATGCTCAGCTCTTCACAGGCATTATCCAGTTATTCTTCCCCAATCTATGAAATACGGGAAACGTGGTGAAGTGATTAAAGGGGCAGGTCTCAATTTTGAAGAAAGTTGTCAATTTCTTAAAGAGTAAATACGCATTTGCTATATGTGCCTGCAACTTTATTCTTGGATATTTATCTAAGAAAAGGGAAAATATTTCAACAAATCATGTTCCAAAAAAAAGCATTCATAGCAACTGTATCCATATTAGCCAAATCTGGCACTAACATGTGTCTAGTAATAAGAAGATGGAAAAACAAGTTGTGGGGCATTAATGGACTACTACTCAGCCAGGGAGCAAAGTGACATCTGATCAACATGATTGCATTTCAAAATTACGCTCCTAAGCTCTGGGAAGCAGGTCCGTGGCGGCGCTGGGAATCAGAACAGGGATTGACTATGAAAGCGCTACAGTGAATTTTAGGCAAGGACGGAAATATTCAGAATATTTTCCAGGCCTTCAGGTCCTTGTGGCCCAGGACTTTAATTACAGCACTCAGGAGGCAGAGGCAGGCAGGTCTCGTTGACTTGGAAGCCAGTCTGGTATATACAGCAAGTTCCAGGCAAGCCAGCACTGCATGGTGAGACCCAGTCTTAAAAAACCAAAACCAAACCAAACAAACAAAACCCCTTGAAAACCAAAACAGCAGGAGAGAATGATGAATATCTGTTCACCTCATTGCAAATTCCATACTGCCAAAGGATTTTCAAAGAACATATAATTTTTTTCATTTTTGCCCATCCTTTGGATTCATAGTCAACTTTTGTTTTCATAAATAACACTTGCATGAATGTTGGTGATTTAGATTTTTAATAATTTTTATGTGCATGGGTGTTTTGTTTGCCTGTATTTCTGTGTACCACATGCAGGCAATGCCTGTGGACAGCTGAAGAGGATGTCAGATCGCCAGGAACTGGAGTCAGAGATGGTTGTGAGCTGCCATGTGGGTGCTAGGAACTGAACCTGGATCCTCTGCAAGAGCAGCCAATGCCCTTAACCAATAAGCCATTCCCCCAGGTCCTGATTAGACCAGACTAAACTGAAACAACAAAAACATTCTGAAAACTTCATTGGTCAAAGACTTGAGGGACTGCTGAATGCAGGCTTGTTTCCTCAGCTTCCAGACTGTTCACAGGCGATGGGTTTTAAACACTTTTAAGATCTGCATCATCACAGATTCAATACAATGCCCATCAAAATTCCAGCAAAATTCTTCAAAGATCTCGAAAGAATGATACTCAACTTCATACGGAAAAGCAAAAAACCCAGGATAGCCAAAATAATTCTGTACAATAAAAGAACTTCTGGAGGCATCACAATCCTTGACTTCAAACTCTACTACAGAGCTACAGTACTGAAAACAGCCTGGTATTGGCATAAGAACAGACAAGAGGACCAATGGAACTGAATAGAAGACCCAGATATCAATCCACACATCTTTGAACACCTGATTTTTGACAGGGAAGCAAAAAATATCAAATGGAAAAAAGAAAGCATCTTTAACAAGTGGTGCTGGCATAATTGGATATCAACAAGTAGAAGAATGAAAATAGACCCATATCTATCACCATGCACAAAACTCAAGTCCAAATGGATCAAAGACCTCAACATAAAGCCAGCCACACTGAACCTCATAAAAGAGAAAGTGGGAAGTACACTTGAATGCATTGGCACAGGAAACCACTTCCTAAATATAACCCCAGCAGCACAGACACTGAGAGAAACAATTAATAAAGGGAACCTCCTGAAACGGAAACGCTTCTGTAAAGCAAAGGACATGGTCAACGAGACAAAACGACAGCCTACAGAATGGAAAAAGATCTTCACTAACCCCACATCAGACAGAGATCTGATCTCCAAAATATACAAAGAACTCAAAAAATTGGACACCAAAAGATCACATAATCCAATAAAAAATGGAATAAAGACCTAAACAGAGAACTCTCAACGGAGGAATCTAAAATCGCTGAAAGACACTTAAGGAAATGTTCAACATCTTTAGTCATCAGAGAAATGCAAATCAAAATAACTCTGAGATTCCATCTTACACCTGTAAGAATGGCCAAGATCAAAAACACTGATGACAAATTATGCTGGAGAGGTTGTGGGGAAAAGGGAACACTTCTGCATTGCTGGTGGGAGTGCAAGCTGGTACAACCTCTTTGGATATCAGTGTGGCGATTCCTCAGAAAATTAGGAAACAACCTTCCTCAAGACCCAGCAATACCACTTTTGGGTATATACCCATAGGATGCTCAATCATACCACAAAGACATGTACTCAGCTATGTTCATAGCAGCATTATTTGTCATAGCCAGAACCTGGAAACAACCTAAATGCCCCTCGATCAAAGAATGGATAAGGAAAATGTGGTACATTCACACAGTGGAGTACTACACAGCAGAAAAAAATAATGACAGCTTGAATTTTGCAGGAAAATGGATGGAGCTAGGAAACATTATTTTGAATGAGGTAACCCAGACCCAGAAAGACAATTATCACATGTACTCACTCATAGGTGGTTTTTAAACATAAAGCAAAGAAAGCCAGCCTACAAACCACAATCCCAGAGAACTTAGACAACAATGAGGACACTAAGAGAGACTTACATAGATCTAATGTACATGGGAAGTAGAAAAAAACAAGATATCCTGAGAAAATAGGGAGCATGGAGGCCTTGGAGGAGGATTGAAGGGGAGAGGGGAGAGGCAGGGAGGGGAGCAGAGAAAAATGCAGAGCTCAATAAATATCAATAAAAAAAAGAAACTAAAAAGAAAAAAAATCTGTATCATCAGCACTTTTCTCACTCAGCCCCTTCTTAAACGTAAACAGCCAGCAAACAATAAATCAAGTCCCAGTGAAACATTTGTTGAATTCCAGACGATAAGTCCTCCATCATGGCTGGCTCTCAAGCTTGCTATGTGACATCACTGAATATGGAGCTGGGAAGAGCTGCTGAGCAGCAGAACTCTCTGGTGATTACACCATCCAGAACTGCTACTTTAGACTGACCAAGACTAGGATGACCAGCCACACTCTCAGCTGCACTTATCCAAGACCGTTCTGGCTTTAGCACCAAATAACTCTTGAGCATCAAGGACAGTTTGACATCATGTTACCACATCAGGGACTATTAGAGAAATGACTAGAAAATGAGAAAACTATGCGGTTTGAAATCAGTCAAATTAATAAAAGTTCTTTAATATCTGTTTATGGGACACACAGGAAAGCAAATGAAAAGAACACACTGGAAACTGCTAGAACCGTAGGCTTTGTATAAGCCACCCCGTGATTAAACTAATCTTCCAAATGATAAAATTAGCTCTCCTAGGCAATGGTGGCGTGATGTAGGATTCCCCTCTGTATACTGTGAATATGTTTCATTGCCATTGGTTAATAAAGAAGCTATTTTGGGCCTATGGCAGGGCAGAATAAAGCCAGGCAGGAAATCTGAACAGACATACAGAGAGAAAGTAAGTGGAGTCAGAGAGAGGCCATGTAGCTGCCAAAGGAGACAGACATGGGAACTTTACCCAGTAAGCTATAGCCTTGTGGTGATACACAGAATAATAGAAATGGGTTAGTTTAAGATGTAAGAGTTAGCTAGAAATACGCGTAAGCTATTAGCCAAACAGTATTGTAATTAATATAGTTTCTGTGTGATTATTTCGGGTCTGGGCAGCTGGGAAATGAATGAGCTGTCTCTGCCTATAATAGTGTACACCTTTAATTCCAGTATTCAGGAGGTAGAGGCAGGTGGATCTCTGAGTTTGAGGCTAACCTAGTCTACGGATCAAGTTCCAGGGCAGCCAGGGTTTCACAGAGAAACCTGTCTTAAGAAACAAAACAACAACAACAAATTAAACACATATCTCTTAAACACATATCTATAAGCTGGGGATTATATTGTAATGTATAGTAGTAACATGACACCAATCAATGGCCATAATTATAAGTCATGCCTGCTACAGGCTGCTGTAAACTGGCCATCAACTTTGATTGGCAAGTATTTCACATATTTAGTAAAGATTAAAACGTATCAGCTTCTTTTTTTAAAATGTATTTTATGT